AGCACGCCGAATGCTTGTTATCCCCTGTTTGGCCCTACCACTTTGGACTTGATCTGGAAAGCTTGGCAGAACAGCCTCCTACGGAGACTGAACGACCTGGTGCAAGGTAAGTTATATGGCAAAACTTGAGGTGGACGAGCAGGGCGAGGGGAATGACCTGATGATAGCAATCATGTGCTTGGTCAAGCGACGGCATACTGACCCTCTGTTGGCATCTTCTTCCTTGCTTGCGCTCACTCCAGGCACCGACCTGGAGGACCGCTCGATTGTGGACACTGTCATCGCAACCGCTCGAGACCCGCATCGCATTCTGATCTTCAACGCAGCTTCACACGCCCTTAACAATGCCTTCTTCATCAATGGTCTCGTGAGTCCCGCGACTTCAGGTGCATATGAAGAGGTCCTTTTGCCCGCTTGCTGACGGTCGGACCTGGTGATGGTGGATCTTGCAGAGGCCCAAACCGTTGGAAGGCTTGAGCATAAACGAGTGGGCCGACATTCCGCCGTTCAAGCCGAAGGGTCAGCTACTTGACGCGATCACCAAAGAGTACGACTCTCTGCCCGCCTTTAAAGATGCATTCAGCGCCACTGCAGATGGCATGTCAGGCTCAGGCTACGTGTGGCTGGTCAGAGACGCGTACCGGAACCTGGGCATCGTACCTACCTACGGAGCTGGTACTGTGATGGTGCAAAATAGGATCCAACGGGGAGCGCACATCGAGGGAAGTACTCCCCCATCAGTTCCTCAAGGTGAAGAACAACCTGCTGGACCTTCCAGCAACCTCGACTCTCGCATGGGTGCTAGCGCTGTGGATTCTGGAGCGTCCGGCAGCAGCAGCAGTACCAACAGCGCAATCAGCAATCCTCGCCTTGGAGCGTACGGGACCAAGTCTTCTTGGTATGCAGCAGGAGGCACAACGAGGGTGCAGAGGACAGGAGAAGAGCTCTATCCGCTCTTCTGCATCTCTATTCATGAACACACTTGGCTGCCTGACTACGGCATGGAGGGAAAGGACGAATACCTGGCCAGATTTTGGGAGGTGCTGGATTGGGAGAGGGTGGGGCAGCTCTACGATGCGTACAATAGGCAGGACGATGACAAGCTGTAGAGGGTCGTGGGAATAGGCAAGCGGTGATGACGCAGTTTAGGAATGCGATGCCCAAGTCATCAGATGATTAGCAACTCTTGCGCTTGTGCGTTCTGAGATGGACCAGGGAGGTTTTTGCGTTTCTACCCCACCCGTTGGACTTGAATGAGCAGTTAGCCCTCTCCGCGCAAACCAACTTTTCAACACAGCGCGGGCGATGCGATCGGCTCAGGCTACGACTGATCCTGCAACTCATGACGACTGATGCTGCAACTCATGACTATTGCCGTTCTTTCCGCTGCTGGCCCACTCGACCCGCGCGCATCAGTCTAGCACTTGCCATTCCTCCCCCAGCATCGCTTCGTGCACCTGAAAATGTCTGCAAGGTTTGCCTTGCTTGAGAATTCTTCCTTCCGCTTTCCAGCTCCCATCCTCGCCTCTGGTCAAAGCATCCTTGGAATACCTGACCAACAATCTGCCTCTCAGCTTGCCGCTCTGCGCAAATCTGGTCTCGGAGATGACGACTTCGTGCGTGTCCTGCTCGGCTCCTTTGTCTGGCAGATCCGCAAGAGCAACGGGCTCGGGCGTGAGTGTCAGCTCCCAAGTCGCAAAGGGTCTCTGCGTAGGCCTGATGAAGGACAAGTCGTAAATTGTAGTCTCGAGCTTTTGCAGCCTCCACGACGTGTTTTCGATTTCCATCCAGGGCTGATCCGTGTGGGACGAGGTGGTGAGCGCATCCCGCTCTTTCTTCGATGGCCGCACCAGCCTCATGCTCGTAGTGTATGCACCAGCAATCCATGCTATCAGCGCAGTGCTGGTACCGGACGTACTGAGCGCAGCGGCGCAGAGCACCAATCTGCCTTGCAGGCCCACTTCTGCCGGTGCCAAGAGGATGGCGGGAGCAAGAGCAGTGGAAAGGCCCAAGGAGGAAAGGGAAAAGATTTTCAACCTGCGAAACGTCTTGCTTAGCGGACCAGCATATCTA